CTCTCTCTCTCTCTCTCTCTCTCTCTCTCTCTCTCTCATTATTGAGCCTTTACCCTGCGTGCTGGGGGCCCTGCAAAGAACAAGAATGGAGTCAGTCCCTGCCTCCACAAAGGGAACTCACCTTGTAGCCTACAGAGTGAAGGAGGCTCAGATGGCAGATGCGGTCTGTTTCTTTTCAAAGTGGAGACTGTACAAAGTGGAGTATCCCCGGTACCTGGCTCAATGGATAATTGTCGAGCGAACAGTTAACCTGACAGCAGCTCATGCTGCGTCGCTCCAAGCAGTGTGTTTTTAGTGAAATGCACCTTTGACGTGGGGTTGCATCGAATATCTTGAATTTCTAATTTTTCCTATTTGTGTGTGGCTTTTCCTCCAACACTCAGAAGTTGTCGGTTGATTTTCAAAAGTGGCGGTGTTCCAAGGTACACTCATGGCTTTCAAAACAGACTGTGGAGTTTTCCCTGGCCTGGAGAAATCTGAAAGTAGAGGTCAAGCCGTTTCCTTGTTCTGCCTCGAAAACAAGCAGCTGAGGAGTCTGTGAGGCACCAGTTGCCCCCCCCCGGGGACTGCCCACCGCCCTGACATCAGGTATCCAGGGGCTTTTGAAAAAATGTCCGATCTGCTGTGTGGTGGTTGGTGGTGCTGGTGTCAATTCGGGCAGCAGGAGCATTCTAGCACCGTTCTGAAAATGGAGCCGCGTGCTGCTCTCCTGTGAATGATGTGTGAAGTAGGAAACAGGGAAGCTAAAATATGGTCTCAGCTACCAAGAAAGCTGAAGCTAGCGGGTCTGGCAGCCTTATCAGAGGCGGACTTCATGAAAAACGGGAAGGTGTCGAAGGTGTTCAACAACTGCGAGGAAGAACACTACCAAAAACCCTGGTATGACGATCCTTTATAAAGCAGTATGTGGATACTTAAAACGAATGAGACGGTGTTACGTGTACTAACGAGGATATGTTCCAAGACGCATTATTAAGGGGAACAAGTACGCATACCTTTTGTTAAAAATAAACCTCACCATTAATAACTCGTGCCGCAATGCTGTATCACAGGGGACACATTGTATGTATGTGTCCCGAAAGAGGTTTGTACCATCCTGATACTGATGATTACCCTGGAGAGTGTAAGAAATGAATCACAATTGTAGACAGTGATCAAAGAGAGCTTGACCTGTAGTATTTCAGTTTTTTTTTTTTTTTTTAAATGGGGGAACATCTCATTTATAAAACTCATTTACAAGCAAATTAATTTAGGAAGAAACATAGTAATTGTGAAAGTAAGCGTATACTAGACCTGACCCTTAGTAAGGCAGGCCATTAACGTCTAGATCAGGTTTATTAAACAGACATGGTTCTACAGCTTTCTGTAAGCATCCTGTCTGAAACAGACCGAGAAAAGATGCCCATGGGTTGTGGAGGCACAGGTGTGAAAGGAAATGCCTCCTTATGCGAGCCAAGTGCCGATTCCCCCAACAGGCCTGTATTACTGGGATTTGTTCAGTACTGTTGGATTCTGATATTTCTGAGGCTTTGTGATTTTGAAATGATTTCATTGGAGTCTCTGGACTGTTCCTGGGAGGGGCAGATTTGTCCTTTCCACTTCACAGATTAGAAGGCTGTTTCAGAAAATCTGACGTCTACAAACCAATGTCAGTACGAGGAAAAGCCCCGTATTTCCCAGGAGCCGAATGCTTTTTCTAATTTCTCCATTCTCAATAGATGCAACTCTCGCAGTTTATAGCAGCTGTCAGATCCCAGACTTCATCTTTTTTGCTGGCTGAGTTCCCATTTTGGCAGCATCCTTTACCCACCGTCTACTTGAACGTAGGCAGAGTAACTCCCAATCCAAATCCAAAATCCAATTTCAGAACGTGGTTGTTACTACCAAGGGGATTTTCCAGCCAGTGGGAAGTTTGCTTTTTAGAACAACACTCAGCATCTGATCCGGCACCATCCTGAGCGGTCAGGGACAGTGCTGGGCTTGATGCCACGGTTCTGTGCTGCCTGGTGACACCTGGTACTCTGTCACATCTTGTTAACATCTAGCGGTGGAGCCAGACCCTGTCTCTCCCAGTAAGAGGCCGGAGAGACCTTCTATTGCTTTTTCTTATCCTTTGGTAGCTTCTGAATGAGTGTGCACTTGCTAAGTCCCTCCAGCC